CGTCGTATATAGCTATTCGGTACTTGTTTAACGCCATTACGGATCAATACTGCAATCATGTGCCTGCATATTATTCCTAGAAATTTGAATAGGTGGCAACTACAAACAATTTGACAATCTTCTCGCTAAAAAGATACAAAGAAGGTTTTTTTAGTGAGATTGCTCATCGTTTATTTGTTCCTCGCATACCTCATACGTTGTCCCCAAACTTCCCTCCAAAGACAAGATTAAGTAACAATAAAACTTCCTGGTGAACTTTTCTTGAACTTCTCTAAACTTTGCAATGGTGTATACGGCTTGAAATTGCTTCTCCATTTCATATCTTGTCACACATGGCACTATTTGTGAGAAAGACTTGAAATCTGCTTGAATCTCCTTCTCAAATTTATTCTTCAAAGCTCGTTCGTATTGTTTGAAAAATTGTTTTAACGAAGTCTTTGAATGCACATACCCATCGAAGAACGCGTTCATACTCTCATTGCATTTAGTTGTCAACATTCCTGCCCAGAAGCTGGTTTCCATCGACATTTGTTGTCATACAGTCCCGACAACCATGCATTATCATGCAAATCATATGTATCAATCATTACCCTCCATCCATCTTCAAATTCTTGAGCAAATTGTGAATCGTAAACCAAGCTGTGTATAGCATGGAAAATTGAACCCTTCTCCACGTTGTATCCAAACTTTTCTGGTAAAATTTTCAATATGTGCCACAAACATCATCTATGTTTCATGTTGCGGAACACAATTCCAATTGCATTCTGCATTGCCTTGTCTTGATCAGTAATTATACCCTGGGGAGCTTTTCCATGCATACATTACAGCCATGTCCTAAACAGCTAGACAAATATATTTGTATCCTCATTCAATACTAGCCCACAGCCAAGCAAGGTAGATTGTCCATTATGATTAATTCCAACAAAAGGGGCAAACAGCATGTCATACTTATTGGTGAGGTACGTGGTATCGAATGTGACGACATCGTCAAACTCTTTTATACACCTGCCTACTCCTATTATCTGCCAAACCTCGAATCTTCGTCCAAATCCATACTGAAGTAAAACCTGGCGCAACTGGCTTGCATTTTCGAAAAATATGATTATATTACTGTAGCGTCCCCTTCTCCAAGTCTCAGACGGCGAACTTGTTCAATATAGTTTTGACAATCCTTTTCTATACACGCCATATTTTCATATCCACCTGCTTCGACTACTGCAGAGTTGAAACTTTTATGTAATGGAATTCCTACCATATCATTAACTTCTAGCCGCTGTTTACATGAGCGCTCAACTCTCGATTACATCGATATAGTCTCAACTTGGATGAACTTGTTTTTTTATTATGGTCGAGATTGACTGTGTTTATTTTCCATATTCTACGGCTACTCATAGATGCAGTGAACCTCGATTTACAACATGTCTGAATGGTTGGTTGCGATTTCAATGTACCAATTGTAGTACTTCTTTTTTTTCCTTCGCGACTACATGTCAATGTGACATATCTCACAACACCATTATCGTCTTTTTTGGAATTTCTTTTCTTAACTGGAAAACCTTCGGCGTATGCAAATTTTTTGTAGTAGTCAAACAATTCATTTTCATCATTGAACTCTATACCGACCTCGGGCACTCGCAAAGACACACCATCTCTTGCTACAATTTCATCACCCAATAAGTTCACTTTCTTCACGATATTCTCGGACTCAGATTCTACCAAAATAATGTCATTCACATTGTCCAACATATCTTTTCCTGCAACGTAAACGTAAAATCAGTTGAGATAATGATTTTTCCACAATAGATGTAAATTTCCTCATGAAATCATTGAACTGAAATGTAATTTAAAAAAAAAAAAAAAACTAATGTCAACTAACATTGAACCAAAAATTATTTTTTCACAACAAATGTGAAGTTTCAACGACTATTAACATAAGTTTTCCATTCATTGAAGAATAAGGTCAAGAACATCCTACACATTGCATTTTTGACAGTATCAAAAAATACGCATTACCTTCATCTGTAAATTTTTGTCCAAAAAAAAAAATGCCAACCAACATTGAACCGAAATAATGATTTCTTCACAATGAATGTAAATTTTCAACAACCATTAATGCAAGTTTGTGATTAACTCAATAATAAAGACATCAACTTCCAACACATTGCATTTTCAAGAAAATCAGAAAATACGCATTACCTTTTTTAACCATGTTTCGACTAACTCCTTACAATATTTGGCGTTGCAAATGCTGAAATTTGGGGAAGAGGGGGCGTATTTCGCGCGTTGTCTGAAAGTAACGGAAAGCACAGGCAGATTTGGGGCTATAGGGTCGGGCAAAGGTGGCCCATTTGATATGGAATCAAAATAAATAATTTTTTATTGTTTAGTGGGAGCCAGCTTTCAGAAGAATTCAATGAAAAGTGTACAGATAGCCAGATGTTGAAAACTTGAAAGAACAAAATAAATTCTCTCCCCCTCCTCATCTCTAAGAAGGGGTGAAATGGCTCCCAACAGAGACTCACTAAAATGCTTTTTTGAAACTCGACGCTTTCTTGATCTCATGGAAGATTCTTTCTTCAAGAATGAAGAACTTGAAACTGTTCTTCCACGAGGACAAATCGTTCTGATTGCCATCAATTATATAAGAAATTTGTTTTCCCGAAATGAAAAAGTTATTGATTTTTCAGGGCATCATTCAGCAGTGAATGAACGAGTAAATTATTTGGTACTGTCTATTGAGAGATATTATTATTGCCAACGAGAAGAACCCTTCATCATATGGTGTATGTCAGTGATGCAAGAGTTCCGAGTATTTTTTGCAGTCCTCAAGCCGCAAATGTCCTCTGAGGGTACTATTAATAAACTTCTTGTGGTCTTTATCAATTTTCTCCTTGAAATATTGGAAAAAGTACATTGGAAAAGCAACGTAAACGTAAAATCAGTTGAGATAATGATTTTTCCACAATAGATGTAAATTTCCTCATGAAATCATTGAACTGAAATGTAATTTAAAAAAAAAAAAAAACTAATGTCAACTAACATTGAACCAAAAATTATTTTTTCACAACAAATGTGAAGTTTCAACGACTATTAACATAAGTTTTCCATTCATTGAAGAATAAGGTCAAGAACATCCTACACATTGCATTTTTGACAGTATCAAAAAATACGCATTACCTTCATCTGTAAATTTTTGTCCAAAAAAAAAAATGCCAACCAACATTGAACCGAAATAATGATTTCTTCACAATGAATGTAAATTTTCAACAACCATTAATGCAAGTTTGTGATTAACTCAATAATAAAGACATCAACTTCCAACACATTGCATTTTCAAGAAAATCAGAAAATACGCATTACCTTTTTTAACCATGTTTCGACTAACTCCTTACAATATTTGGCGTTGCAAATGCTGAAATTTGGGGAAGAGGGGGCGTATTTCGCGCGTTGTCTGAAAGTAACGGAAAGCACAGGCAGATTTGGGGCTATAGGGTCGGGCAAAGGTGGCCCATTTGATATGGAATCAAAATAAATAATTTTTTATTGTTTAGTGGGAGCCAGCTTTCAGAAGAATTCAATGAAAAGTGTACAGATAGCCAGATGTTGAAAACTTGAAAGAACAAAATAAATTCTCTCCCCCTCCTCATCTCTAAGAAGGGGTGAAATGGCTCCCAACAGAGACTCACTAAAATGCTTTTTTGAAACTCGACGCTTTCTTGATCTCATGGAAGATTCTTTCTTCAAGAATGAAGAACTTGAAACTGTTCTTCCACGAGGACAAATCGTTCTGATTGCCATCAATTATATAAGAAATTTGTTTTCCCGAAATGAAAAAGTTATTGATTTTTCAGGGCATCATTCAGCAGTGAATGAACGAGTAAATTATTTGGTACTGTCTATTGAGAGATATTATTATTGCCAACGAGAAGAACCCTTCATCATATGGTGTATGTCAGTGATGCAAGAGTTCCGAGTATTTTTTGCAGTCCTCAAGCCGCAAATGTCCTCTGAGGGTACTATTAATAAACTTCTTGTGGTCTTTATCAATTTTCTCCTTGAAATATTGGAAAAAGTACATTGGAAAAAATCAGATTTCCAGGATCAAAACGAAATTCTTCGGATGGAGCTAAAATTTGTTATCACTTTTCTTGGAGATACGCCATCACAGGCCACTGAGTTGGAGGAAAACCTGAACATGTTGACAGATATAGAAGCCGCGGTCAACGAGGTAGGTAATTTCTTACACTCACTATTTTTCACCAAGAATTCAGTCCACGTGATAAAAATGGATCAGTTACTTTCTGATTTGATGCGAAAGTTTAAGATCTTGAAACCCAAGATTGAAAAACATTGCATAACAGTCTCAAAGATCCAGACTGATGTGCCTACCAAAACTTTTGTGGTTTCGCTCTTCAGTGTTGATTCTCTCCTTGACGATCTGAAGGATCTAATGAATTACAAGGCCGACTCGATAGTTGGGGTTAAGGATCAACTTTTAACAATACATAATGAGCTATTAGACCGGCGATCCTTCCTCAGAGGTGTCAATATGCAGAAATATCCAGAGTTTCAAGAAATTGTGATACGAATTAGAGATATAGCCTATGAAGTTGAATACATTATAAGCGACCCATTTACTCCTGTCTGGTATCTAGCCCTCAGGCTCTCTCATATCATGGGGAAGATTAAGCTCATGAAGATGGCAGCCGAAAAAATGATTAAGAGTTACGACACTGGAGTACTAGAAGTTGCAAATGATTCAATCGAAGAAGTATCACTGCAAGCCACAAAACCTCCCATTTTGGAAGACATTGTGGTGGGATTCATGCAGGAAACTACAAAAATAGTATGTCAACTTGTTCGGGGACCACAGCAGCTTCAAATTTCTTCCATCTATGGGATGGCAGGACTAGGGAAGACAACTTTGGCAAAGAAACTATACATTGATAGCACCATTGTTGATTTTTTCGACAAGCGTGCTTGCTGTGTTGTCTCACAAACATAACAGAAGAGAAATATGTTGATTGACCTATTGAGAACAGTAAGCGACCTTAGCAAAGAGAGAATTCCGAATATGGATGAAGGCCTCCTGGCAGAAAAGCTTTATAAAAGTTTAAAGGGAATTAGATACCTCATTGTCCTGGATGATATTTGGAATATAGATGTGTGGGATGATTTCAAAAGATATTTTCCAGATGACAGATGTGGAAGTAGAATAATATTTACTACTCGGCTCGAAAATGTGGGTTTGGAAGCTTCACCTCGTGCTGTTGTTAATCAACTTCCTTTCTTGTCAGAAACTGAATGTTGGGATTTATTACAGCAGAAGGTATTCCAAAAAGAGCAATGCCCTCCACAATTGGTAGACTCTGGAAAGCAGATCCCAACGAATTGTCAGGGGCTACCACTCGCAGTTGTTGTGGTGGCTGCAATTCTTGCCAATATGGAGAAGAAAGAAAGCTCATGGCAAAAAGTTGCAGCAAGTTTAAGTGTGCATATATCTGAAGAAAATAATAAGTGCATGGACATACTTGAACTTAGTTACAAGCACTTACCAGTTCATTTGAAACCATGTTTTCTGTACTTTGGAGTATTTCAAGAGGACGTGGAGGTCCCTGTGAGAAAGTTGAAAGCGCTATGGATTTCAGAAGGATTAATAGAAAAAAGAGAGAACAAGAGCTTAGAGGACGTGGCCCACGACTATCTGATGGATCTCATTGGTAGAAGCCTTGTACTAGTTGCCAAAAGAAGCTCTAATGGTCAAGTCAAAGCCTGCAATATGCATGATTTATTGCGTGAGATGTGCTTGAGAATAGCGGAAGAAGAAAACTTTTTGAAGGTTGTCCAAGAGTAAGTTCTCTTTCTCTACTTCTCTATTTCATATTTGTTCAGTTTCCATTTTAGCCAACTAACAACTTATAATCTTGTGTTTCGATGATGGTGCACTGTCTCCAGTCAATTGTCAACAGCTGAGAAAAATCACACGAGTGTTCACTTATACTTGAATCCATCTTCCATGAGACCTTCAGGCCTGCATGTCCGTCCTCTATGTGGCAATTCACCTGATCCCTCCTTGTTTGTCCGTTGTAGCATGAAACTTCTCAGGGTCTTTAATATGTCAGCCATAGACTTGAAATATTATGATCTGATAGGAATTGGACTGCTGATTCACTTGAAGTACTTGACAGTTCCATGTACACCATCATCTATAGCCAGACTGAACAACCTGGAATTTCTTTTGGTGGATAACAAAGAAGTAGCTCAAATACCTGAGTTCCTTCTTAATATGGTGAAGTTGAGATATCTGCATTTTGGTGGTGGTGCACAATTCGATGAATCTTGTCATATGCGAGTATCTAAGGGTGAGGGCTTCCAAATGATTAACTTACAAAATGTTTCTTTTCTTTTCATTCATGAAGAGAATGACGAGAAAATCTTGAGATATTCACACCATCTTCGCAGACTGAAATGTGAGTTTAAAGTAATTTGGGATTCATCTAAGAAGCAATATCGCTATCCTAATTTCCTTAATCAGCTTGAATCCCTCAGTGTATCTTTCCACCGGAGTTATGTGACAAACACAAGTCCCGGTTTAATTAGTTTTCCCTCGCACCTTAAAAAGCTAACTCTTCGCAAGTTTGATTTATCTTGGGAGCAATGAGTTTAATTGGGAGATTGCAAAACCTTGAGGTTCTAAAGTTACAAGATGATGCCATCGAGAAAGGACAATGGGAGACAAGTGAAGGAGAATTCCTACAACTCAAATTCTTGGAACTAGATGGAATACAAATTTCACAATGGAGTGCTTCTAGTGATCATTTTCCCATACTTGAGCGACTAGTGTTGCGAAAATGCAAACATTTGAAGAGCATCCCTCCAAACTTGGGTGATATTCTAACACTGCAGATTATAGAGGTACATGGCTGCAGAAATTCAGTTATTCAGTCTGCTAAGCAAATTCAAGATGATCAAATAGACTTGGGAAATGAGGAGCTTAAAGTTATTATCACTCGATCTCCACTCTTAAGGTAAATAGTTTTGCTGCTGTAATAAGATTGTATAAGAATTCCTTCCTTATTTATTTAATTTATTTTGGATATTTTTTCTTGTAGGAGATTCGGCGGCAACCTTCAAGCATGAAATTCTTCACAGGGCGATAGTGAAGAAGTTCTCTATAATTTGTTTTCCCATCCATTGCAGTTCTCATGTTCAATTCTCCATTGCGATCTTGTTTGTTTGGTTTAATTTGTTAAGCTGAATTCCAAGACTGTTTCACTTATAATTTTTATTATTTTAAGAAATATCTTAAATATTCCATTCACTATATTCATTTGAAGATCAGTTGGCAAAATTGTCTTTGAATTACATAAAGCATGCTAAAAGAAATTGTCTTTGAATTAAAACGGTAAAACAATGATTATGTCTTTATCCCAGCACTTACCAGTTTAGTTTAACATACTTATGATGAAATTACAATAGATTAAATAAATACACAGCACCCAAAAAATACATTTGCAAGAAGAAGATATAGAATCAATCTCGCCTCGTAAATTCTTCCAAACGAGCATTCAATTGATTCCAATTTATTTTTTACTTTTGATTATCAATTTTAAGTGTTGAATACCCAGACTCTGGGTGTTATTTGCCTTGAATCTCTGCCTAAACTTGTTATTCACTTTCTTGAATGAAGAATGATGAATTTTTCATCCCAATTTAGGCTAAAATCGTGGTCAATTTGCTTTCCAAAAGATGGACAAAACTGAAAAGCATAAAAAATAAAAAAAGATAAAAAAAGGAATCCGTCCCTAGCAATCGCATGGTATATCTAAATGCTGGATTTAATCCACCATAGAAGTACTTCACTTGTTCCCACGTCTTCAACTTATTTCTTGGACACTTTCGAAGCAGTCCCGTGAATCACTCTAAGCCTAATAATGTGCTTCTCCTCTATGCTGTGAAAAGGAGACGTTATCCTGCAGTAACTTGGCTGCTTAATTATGAATTTCTAAGTTAAATCCTCCTAAGTAGTAACATTTATGGCTGGAAAAAGATAGCCCATCTCGACCGAAATGTTAAAAAAATAACATATCTTAAGAAATCATCTATCTAGAGTAGGATATTTCTTCTCAATTGTCCTTATCTCGAACTATATACTTCAAAGTACCTTTCGAGTTCTAACATAGGCGGAATTTAAAAGGTCCAGAAGTAAAATACACGAGTAGTAGACACCTAATTTATATTTGTTAGACAAAGGGGGGTCATTATTCATATCCTATTTGACTTACTCTTCGAGATGGTCTTGTGACAATACAATTTACCATCCTTGCATTTAATTTTATTGAATATGTATACCAAACCAAGCACATTTTCAACTTACAAAAATAAATATCCAACACTAAATTGACATATGAACACTTTTGAACTACCTAGAAGCTGTATGTAGTGGTATTAGAATATATACATGATATAATTTTTTTTTTCATTTTTTAAGTAAATGTTTTACAAATTAATAAATTCAGCTAATTAACATATTACTGTACAATGGATCATATTAATTTAGAGTTATTAGACTGCTTTTATTAAAATTCACAGATATGAGGAATGATTTCCTAAATTGCATTGGGTTTAGTATGATATGTGCTATACTACTATTTAGTTGACTTATGTTTTGGCATACAAGTTTATTTTTTGATTTGCTATTCTGTATAATTTATTTGGTTCTTTCATTGTTACCTCATTATTTGAACTATTCTGAAATGAATCAAATTAAAAGGAAGAAACACAAAGTTAACCTGGTTCGATAAACTATCGACAACCATAGAAGAAGACTTCATTAACAAAGAAAACCTCACAATATAATATTTTTCTCACTTTCTCAACTTCCTCCTAAAACTAGAAGCTAATTGTATTGTAACGACTACTTTTTTATAATATATATATATATATATTGAGAAGTTTTGGATTTGAGTGTAATATTATTTTATTGAAAAATGTGTGGTTGAAAGAGGAGAAAAATGCATTTAAAAAAATGTGGATCAAACAAGGGCATATATGTATTCATACATATATACTTAACTACATACAGATTGTTTCAAGAGATGGAAGATAGAACACAACTACATTTATCACTTTACACTATTTTTCATAAAGTACATTACATAACTGAAGCCACTTCCCAACACTGACTTGCATTTTCATCAAAAACTAAGAAGAATGGGTAGAAGTGCCATAAAGTTTTCAATTCAAAAGTAACAAAATAGACAACTTTCTCCTCATGTCTTCTTATGTTCCTTCCCACCATATACACAAAAGTGGCTTCCATTTCCTTGCTTTATGTGACAGATTTCCATAGCTATCATATTATTTGTTGCAGTAATATATAGAACCATAACATTAACAGTAACTATTTGCATATATGTGTCCACCTCTCCCAAATGGTATACCCATATATCGAGAAACGATGTCCAAAACTGATGTCCAATGGAACTCTTCACCATCGCGAGTAATGACCCAACTATCATCTCTACACTCCATGTAATCACACGTTATTGTTACCTGAAAGTAGTAGGAAAAAGGGGAATGAGTACAACAACTCAATGAATAAAATAAGGTGTTGGTGTGCACTTGATGCATGCCATGCTATGTTCGTTTATTTAAATATTTGCCTCAGTCTCTTTGGGCCCGTACGAAAAAAAAAATCATAAAATAAAAGAAAATAAAATCTACACATCTGAGCTCACTTTAATTAAACATAAGTATGGCTACAAAACTCTTTCTCATAGATGTGCCCTCTTTGACACAATTAATTTTTAACCATGTGTGATATTTGTCTAGGAATGCTGGTCATTTGCACAATTGATCACCAATAAGGCATCCCAACACCAAATACTTCACACAAGGGCCAAGCACTCATTCAATCATTGAACCACCTAGTGATCAAATGAGCGTCCACGTGGCATACAATTTATGAATTTCACACCATATGCATATCAATTAACATTGACGTATATCATGTATATGCCATGCTCATAACTATATATGAATACAAGTATAGGTGTCCCTTGTTTAGCACATGTATCACCTGTGAGCATCAGAATCTCTATTAATGAAGTTTCTGTACTTTCCCATTGAGTAATTAGCATGAAACGTCCCTACCTTTCATGATTTTTGTGGAGAGCGTCCATACCTTTTATTTTATTACGCATTTCATCCCTACCTTTACATTTTTTTTGTGCAAAATATCATTATCATCATTTTTTCTCAATAAAAGGCTATAAAATGATCAATATACCCTTCTATTTAAATTAGAAAAATACCAAAATAAAGAACTAATTGCAATCATAATCTCAATTTTAATAAAAAAAAAGTTCAAAAGAGTCCCAAAGAAAAATAAATGAATATTTGCACTCTCACAAGATCATTCACAGAGATTTGAAGTCGTCAAATATATTATTAAACAATAAAATTGAAGTGAAAATTAGGATTGACTCTACTGGAATTGTTCATGGGCCATTTTCCATACTTGCCGTTGGGGTAAAGACCTGACTGGGCTACACTTATGTGTGTCATATGCTTTGACGAACCACCGAACTTGCCGGATAGTACATCGAAAAATTTCAAGAATTTCATTCATTGTTGTTTGCAGAAGGATTCCAGTAAACGATGGAGTGCAACCCAGTTGTTATCACATCTTTTAGTGAGAGATATTGAACTGAAATCAACATGAGGAGATTAATTTTCGAGGATTGTGGTTGGAAATCTGAGGGTAAAGTTTGGGGAACTGTTTGTGTGTCTATATATATATATATATATATTCCTTAATTTTGGAGGATTATGTACTTTTTTTTTGTTTGGGACTCTTTTGAACTTTTTTAAAAATTGGGACTATGATTGCAATTAGTTTTTTATTTTTATTTTTTAAAATTTAAATAGAAGGGTATATTGATCATTTTATAGCCTTTTATTGAGAAAAATGATGAAAATGATGTTTTGCACAAGAAAATGTAAAGGTAGAGATGAAATACGCCAAAAAATAAAAGGTAGGAACGTTTTCCACAAAAATCATGAAAGGTAAGGACGTTTCGTGCTAATTACCCTTTCCCATTTTATTCCAAAAGTTTCTCTTATAATTTAATTTGTCATTTCAGACTCCTTATGTAAGAACTTAATATCTTATAAAAATCTCCTTTGATGAACAAAATTTCTGAATATAAAGAAGAATGTAGTTCATTACCTTAATCACTTAGTTTCTTCCTTGAGTGTTGTTATACTAGTAGACTTGCTATAGGATTTCTAGTATTGATTGTACTATAGATACTGGTATAAGGGAAGTTCAACACCAGGATAAGATCAAGTGTGATCTAAAATATGAGGTTTTCTTCCAGTTTAATAAAAGCCTTAAATACTAAGTTCCTTATCCAAGCAAGCACCTTACTCATCAACCCAATCTTAGAATTCCAAACCACTTTTCTTCCTGCCATGTGTCTTGTATGACTAATGAAAGTTTAAAACTTATCAATTAAAATATTTAGAGATAAATATGTGAGGATATTATTCTCTTAGTCCTTCAAGTTATCCTCACTTTTATTAAGTCCCTATAGTTTATAGGATTTAAAATTAGACCTCCTTTTTCTCATAGTCGAACTTCCCTTAACTTTTTATATCTTGAACCCACCCAGGGTTCATAATCAATAATATATCAATCATTTGAAGGGTTGAATTAGTAATTAAATTAATTGTAAAATAGGAAATTTGCGGAATGTTACATGTACTTAGTGCATCTATCTGCATACTATTTCTTCTTCTAGGTTCTCTCGTCTCAATTTTCTTTCTTCGGTACACCAACTCTCTGTTGGTTAATGAATTTTAATCATCACAATAGGAAATTAATTTTCCTTTGAAGATTAAAACCATGTAAATAAGGATTTTAGTGATCTTGAGATCATTGGATTATAAAATCCTTACACTAAGAAAGGAGAGATGATAATTTTTTGAAGGAGTCTTTAATGGTCTAGCCAATTGCTTCCTCCCTTAGATCTTCTCCCTTGTTCTCCATTAGATGTATTTCCTTTTCAAGAAAGTGAAAAGTGGACTAAGTACATTTAACCGGACTCACATGACCCAAACTCCAATAGATGTTTCCAATTGGGTCAACTCTTGACCAATTGAGATACATCTATTAATCCCGGATTATTTTACCAAAAAATCGAGATTGCACTCTCGAATCGAGTGATAGTTATGAAGCAAATTATGATCCAATAAAAATATCCTCAGATTATCGTTCCACAAATCAACTCCCATTTGACCGCCAATATGTTGAAA